ACATGCCTATTCAACATATTAATGCATAAAAACCCATGATACTTTAAGTGTTTTTGTTTAAATAAACACGAATTATTCGTAATTTGAAAATTAAATCTTAAATAGCAACGAATTTCCTCTATTCACATCAAGTATGGTTTTTTAGGGTGAATCACTTAATTAAGATAGAATGAGTGCAGACTCTGTTCATCAGTCTTGAATCCTTTTGCAGTCAAGTTGGGTGCTGTGTTTGTGGGTAATTTGGAAATGTTGGGTGTTCGTGTGGGGCATGATCTTTACGAATTTTGCGAAGGGGGCTTGAGCAAGGGGGGGCTTCGGATGGTCAGGGGGTCCCCCCGGGGGGGGGGGGGAACGATCAACGAAGGCTTGAGAAGGGGCTTGAAGGCGGGCTTGAGAAGGGGGCTTCCTTAAATTCGAATTCAAGGAAGCTTCAAAAGGGGCTGAAAAGGGGTCTTGAGAAATAATTCTCGAAGGGGGCTTGAGAAAATTCGGAAGCCCCCTCCAGGCCATGGGTAGAATTTCGAAAAATTCTCTGCTCTACTCTTTTCTAGGCTTCGGAGGATGAGAAACTAAGGGAGTGGAATTAGAGAAGGACAAGAAACGAAGGGTGGCAAGAAGAAAACTTCTCAGCTCTTCTCTTCTTTTCCGGCTTCGAAGGACAACAAGAAACTGAGGTGTGGAATTTAGAAGCAAAAATGATTCTCTTCTTCTCAAGCTTCAAAGACATGCGGGCCTCGCGAGGCCTCGAAAGGCCTCGAAATTTTTGAACCCAATTTTGGCTCCGGAAAAGAGGCGCAAAACGGGGTTTCTCAAATAGCTGTGTATCAAGCGGCCCAATTTTGGGAGCCAGTTTGGGGGGCCCGTTTCTTGCTTGATTTTGGGCCCAAAGATGGTTTGGGCTCTAGCAAAAACAGTTTGTAAGGATGTTAAGCGACACGTAACGCAAGGTTCGCCGTTGGCTTGATGTCGACTGGACCGACGTTGTGCAATCGGCGGCCTGCAAGCAGCAAGCGGTGTTTGTAACAGTACGAGATATTGCAAGGCCTCTGAGGCTCCACCCTGCGGGGTGCGAAGCCTTCCGAGGCCTCCCGTGATTGGTGTTTCTCCGAGTTCCACACCACTAAGTTGGCTACAGGGGAGGCCCACGCACGCGAAGCCAGAATTGCTCTGATTTTTCGACCCCACATTTGGAGGCGCGCAAACTTTTACAAACATGTGTACTGTTACTTGGCCAGAAAGCCGCATCTCGCAGTGCGGTTTCTTCGCAATTGTTGCCCTCCTCCTCTGAGCCGTCGCTCTCAGTGTCCCTCTCCTGGCACCTTGTCTTCCTCAACAGTTCGGCTGACCAAGCTGTCCAATGGCAATACTCTTCTACACGAGACGTTGCCGGCAGATTTGGCATCAGGCCACTCCAGGTTGTATGCTCCTCGCCACTGCAGCCGCGATTGCTTTCCTCACCGCTTCCAGAAGGTTTACCGGCGTGTCATTGGGATCGAACTTGCGGTACTGTCTCAATCCCAACGACATGTACAATGTGAACTGCACTCGGACGAAAGCATTGACCCTGGCCTTTTCAAGGTTCTGCCAAAAGCAACAGCAGCTGCCGGAGGTACATTAATTTGTACGTCCGTAATTTTCCTTGCCTGGGTCCAGCATCTTTTGGAGCCTGCTTGTCGCTCCCCGGCGAACCAAGGATGGGTATCGCAGATGGGGGAGGGTGGGGGCAGAGGGGGGCAGACGGGGGGGCATTGGGGGGGGGCAGGGGCAGGCACAGAGGGGGGCAGGGCGCAGGGGGGCAGGGGGGGGGGGGGGGGCGAGGGGTGGAGGGAGCGGGGCAGGGTTTAGGGTGTCTCATAAACTTTCAAGAGTTTTCGGCGTCTAGGGGTTGCTTGCTAAAGGCCCACTGGAGGGTTTAATTAGCGTTGTTGGTTTTGGGTTTAGGGTCAAAAAGGTGCTTGAGGTGTTGAGGCTTTTAAGTTTTCTTGCATGTCCTGACCGAAGAACCGTCGTGCCAGCTGACGTCAAGAGTCTGGGTTCAAAAGGGTCCAGTAGATCCAACTTGACCAGAATGCTTTGGGGGGCAACATCGAGCGTCGCCATCGCAAGGTTCCATCATCGTAGCCTGGATGACCTTGTCTTCCAAGAAAAAACGTGAAGCTACTTCAGTTGTGCTAGGGTTGTTTTTCTACAGACCAAACCTCAATCTATGAGCGCTGCTCATGATGCTTGTCCAACGGCCATGAGTGCTGGTGTCGGCCACGCGCTCGTCGCCTACGATGCTGGGCTTGGTAAGATGCTGCTGGTTTCCGGGGACGCGGAAGCGCCTCGCATCGTTTCCTTCGCCGAGATTGTGGGCCTGTTAGAGCAGCTGATCCATCCGAAGACCTTGCAGAACCAACGGGAGGCGTACCACAGCTTCTCCGCGAAGAACGCCAGTGTGATGCCGGTCCAGACGCTGGGACAGCCGCCCTACGGGCGCATGCACGGTGGCGACAAGGCGCAGGTGTGCGTGAAGACGGGTTACGTGCATGGGGACAGTGTCTACGTGGTGAAGATCGCCGGTGGCGGCGCGGCCGGGTTTGGCAACACCGGCTGCCTGCAGGTGTTTTCCCAGAAGTCCTTGCGCCTCTCTGCGATCCTACAGGATGAGGGTCTTCTAACCGAGGTGCGCACCGCCGCCGCCACGTGCCTTGTGAGCTCCCTCTTCCTGCCCGCGGTCGTCTCAAAGATCGGCCTGGTCGGTGCCGGCCCACAGGCGGTGTGGCAGCTGCGCTTCTTGTCGCTGGTCACAACGTGCCGCAAGGTGGTGCTGAAGACGAGCTGCCGGGAGACCGCCGCGGCCTTTGTGGAGAAGATGCGAACTTCGGCCTACGCAAAGGATCGCGAGTGGCAGTTTGAGCTTGCTGAGGATATCGCCGCTCCTTCCTTTCGTGGCTGTGTGCTGATCCACACGCTGACCACGAGCCGCGCGCCCGTCCTCGCTTGGAGCGATCTCTTCGAGAGCGACGCAGATTTCACCTCCGAAAGCTTCAAGGGCCTTCACATCTCCGCGGTAGGCGCGGACTCCCCGGGAAAGCAGGAGCTGGAGCTCTCCATCGTGGAGCGCGCCGACCTGCGCGTGTGCGACTGCCTGCGCCAGACGGCCGAGCGTGGCGAGTTCCAGGAGTACTTGCAGAAGATGGGCTCCGGCCGGTCGACTGCAGCAGGAGATGCCGCTGGTGTGGTCGAGATCGGACAGCTGCTCGCTGGTGACCGTGCAGACCTCGGAGATTTCACGGCAGCAACAGAGTCTGGGATCCGGGGAAAGCTCAGCATTTTCGACACCTCGGGCATTGCGGTGCAAGACGTGTGCATCGCAAAGCTTGTTTGTGAGATCCTCAATGTTGCGCTGTAGTGTGAGATGCCCAACGAAGTATCTGGTTGATTGGCCAGAATGGCTTCATAACCATGGTATATCTGCGAAGTTGCCGGGCGGAGAAAAGACCCTTGCTGTCACAAACAAAGGTTTTTGGGAAGCAGGCTTGCTGATCTTTCCCAATATAGCCCGTCAAAGGGCTGTTTCGGAAGAGGCCTATATATGAACAGCAGCCCGCCTTGCAGGGAACCTCACGCCCCAGTTATTTCCGCATTCTGAGCCAGTCGCTGACTCTGAAGCACTTCATGGGTAGTTATGCGTAGGGCTATGAGTAGTCATAACTGGTTATAACCTTATTTAGGGTAGCTATAACCGTGCGAAACGGCGTCTATCCTTCGTGACTTGTTCAAGTTGCCTCCGGGGCTGGTTGGGGGATGAAGGTAGCTAGGGCTATTGAGGCGCTGGAGCGTGCGTTTAAAGGTCGCTCAAATGAAGGATAGTCCCCGAACACTAAACCCGATAATCCCGTTAAGCCCCGAAGCCCAGTTCCGGGTGTCGGGCTAAGGGTGTCGGGAAGCCCTGGCTTGATTTAGCGCCGTGCTCCACATGTGGCCTCATTCCTCACGTCGAGAGTTCATAACTTTCTTGAATCTCAGTCCCGAAGCAGGCTTCAGATCCTCTTCGTCCCGAATCCGAGCACCTGTTCAATTGGGGGGGCCCCCCACCCCCACCGCAATAAGGAAGGCAGGGTTCCGCAATAATTGGACCATGGCCCTGCATTGATGCTCTATTAAAAACAATAGGCTGCAGATCCCTGAGGTGCTGTAGCTTCGCATCTCCGCAAGCAAAACAAGAAGCCCGACAGATTTTTGAACCCCCCACAAAAATTTCTTTAAATGTGGGGGGTTATCCCCATACGAAATCCACCCTAGTGGAAAGTAGTCTTCCGGCGGGCTTCCGGCCGAAAAAAGTTCTTTAAATGTGGGGGGTTTGATTAAACAGGGGCTCGGATTAATGCAGAACTCCCACCCCAAACCAGAAGCCCTTAAAGGCGGCGACCCCTTCGATTCAACTAGTGAGCTAAAGTACCGAAACCTCAAACTCGAAACTCTAAACCCCAACCCCAACCCTTAGTTAAACTCCAAGCCCGGCCCAAACCCTGAAACCCTAAACTCGAGAGGCTCGCAGGATTCCCCGCCCAAAACTTTCAGGATACAATGAATGTACATTTGACGGTATTGAAACAACGAGACTAATGTTGGTACATGTGTTGGGTTTCATGTTGTCGATGTCGGTACATGTGTTGGCTATACTGTCGGTGCATGTGTTGGAGATATTGATGGTATGTGTGCTGGACGTGAGGATAGTGCAAAAGAAAGAAAAAGATCTCAACATTAAGGCATATTCACACGGACCATCGGTGTGGCATCATAGCGGCAGAGCCTTTCTCCACGTCTCTGCCTCAAGCCATGCTTGCGGTAAAGAGCTTCTTCGATGTGCCGCGCGTGCGCATGCTCAAGCTCAATCCTAAGCCCTCACCCATCGAGCTTCCATACACCCTCAACCCCCAAATTATTCTTTGGTTCATGCACGCAACCCAAACAACCAGCGTTGCCCGATTCTGTGAAGCCACATAGAGATCGGAATGGCGAACGCTGATGCTGGAATGGAGCCGCGCTGGCAGCACTTGCTCGGAGATGCGAACGATGAAACTGACCCACCCGGTTTCCAGCTCCATGGATTCATCGACCACAACTTGAATGGAGTGTACATTCGCAGTCGCGAGACAACACCCGGACATATCAACAACAGGTATCTGTCCTACCGGTGTCTTTCCACCGGTATCTTCATGTGGTACCAAGAGAAGAAGCAACGCTACTGCGTGAGCTTTCCCACAGACCCGGTGCATGGTGACTTATGGCAAAGAGTGAAGACAGGCGGGCCTAGAACAAGAAACTACGGTAACCAACAAATGTTATGTGTGGCAATAAGGTTTACACCCAAAGGTGAAGATCCCACATCCAACGCCCCACATCCGCTAGGAGAAGAATGGGCCGTGGCATGGTACAGGCCGATCTTTAGCGCAGCTGGCTCGGTGGGCGAACTGGAGGACAGATCCCTGGGGCAGAGGGCTTAGGAGGGTTTAGCTTTCTCAGGTTCAGGGGTGAAGGACTCGGAATACCCTAACGTAGACTCTGGATAGTAAGGTCCGAAACATAAGGACGACACCTAATATTGGGACACTCTGTGTACTCTGTGTTCTCAGTTGGGGCTCAGGTCCGAGGCTCAGGTAACCAGGGGACACTGTGCTAAGAAGTCTGCATTGGGGCTCAGGTGACCAGGGGACCTGGAGGTATGGTTGTTGGTAAGTAAAAGGGCTTTACTGCTTCTGGCGCTTCTCTTCTTGCCAGAAACGCTCATGTCGTACATCCTAAACCTCAAGCACCTAAACCAAAAGGCAGACCTTTCCTGAGCACGGCCAGAATTCGCGCATGGCGGACGCAAACCCTAAAACCATGCAGGACCGCTGGATGGAACAAAACCCGCAAACTGGCTTGTTGGACTTGCACCCCAGAGGTGGGGGAGGGATTTAGGGTTTAAGGCTTAGCGTGTAGGGTTTAGAGCTCAGAATTCGGGTTTTGGGAAGTTTGGGGTGACTGTTGCTTGTTTTATGTTTCGGTTTGTGTGTGGGGGGATCCATGCATTAGAATTTAGACTGTACGGCAGGGTCCCGCTGGATCGATGCGTAGATACACGATGGTTGACAAAAGGGGTTTGGGGTTTAGGGTTTAGGGTTTGGGGCAAGGGATGTCAACAGAGGTTCTCTAAGGGCTGGATGAAGGTTTTAGGGTCGTGCTTGGTTTATCGGGATGGCACCAACAGCTTTAGAAAGCCCTGCAAAAGCTCCTAAAACTCGGTGGGGCTTCAGGTGCCATCACGTACAAGAAGCTGGAACGTGCGGAGGCCCCGGGATCTAACATTGGTGTATTTCGGGGTTCCTAAATCCTAAGACCTTGAAGGTTTAACGTTTAGTGGTTAGAATTTCGGCTTGAGCGCTTGAGAAGGTCTCCAAAACACCAAAGGCCCGGGATTCGAAATCCTACACCCTAAGCCTTTAAACTCTTCAGCTTCTCCATTTTGACTTCTTGAGAAGCCCTGAACACCGCGAACGGTTTAGGGGTTTGCAGTTGCGGGGCCAACCCTGAATCCTTGAGCCACAAAGAAACCCTGAAGTAAATTTATCCCCATCCCCTAACAGGAATACTAAAGGGAATCCCGGCTGCAATCATCCTTGAACCATGTTCGAACTTTCTGGAAACCCTAAACCCTAAACCCTAAACCCTAAACCCTAAACCCTAAACCCTAAACCCTAGACCCTAAACCCTGAAACCCTAAACCCTAAACCCTAAACCCTAAGCCCTAAACCCCAAACCCTGAACCCTAAACCCTAAACCCTAAACTCTGAGCCTTAAGGTTTTTGCCTACCTGCGGGCGCGCGGCAGCATGGCCCCTCCGGAGACCTCGGAGCCGCCACGGCGTTCAGTCCCATCCACAAACCCGTACACGCCAGCCCCAAGGCCAGGCGGTTTAGGGTTTAGGGTTCAGGGTTTAGGGTTTAGGGTTTAGGGTTTAGGGTTTGGGGGTGTTGGGGCAAGTTGGGGCCTGGGGTTTTCCAGGCTTTCGGGTTTTGGAGGTGGGGGTGTGCTGCTCTGGGCTTTTGGAGTTTCGGGTGAGGTGATTCTCATGTCGTGGGATTTGGGGCTTCTGGAGCTTCAGGCTCCGGGGTCCAGAGATTCGGTGGGGAGCCATCGCGTTGCTTCCCTAAACAAGTATCTGTGATGTTCATCGTCGCTGCCATGGCATTCGCAACCCTTTTTAAATCCTGTTTAGAGAACTGTGGTATGAACCCGAAACCCAAACTGCGTGACATCTACTGTAAGCCCCAGAAAACCCTCGCAAGAAGGCTCAAAATCCAACACCCCAACCCCCCAAAGCCCCGAACACCCGTAAAACACCCCAAACCAGCAACCCTAAAACCCCGCTCTGAAATCGAACTCTTAAAGGAACCGTTGGAACCGTTGAAGGAACCCGTAAGAATCCTAGAAGACCTGGAGAGCGGTCGAAAGGCAGACCCTGACACTCATATCCAGAAAAAAAACGGCTTTGGCTTTCAGGTGGACGTTTCCACCTGGTCCCTTTCCGAAGCCGCCAGAAGCCCCCCCCCCCCCGGGAGGGCCAAGAGTCCCTTAGGAAAGATTTACAAGGCCAGAAGAGGCCATCAAAGGTTTGCAATAGGGAATGGAGGGGAAAGCCATAAACCCGAAAAAAAAGGTGTTGCTTGTTTGGGTGCTGGTAGCCTGTGTAAGCTCACGGCTCTTGGGAAGAAGAAACAAAACACGTTTATCATTGTTTTGTGGTGAGGTTGCAACCCAGCGTCCTAGACGTGGATGTGCCGGAAATTGCTGCCGCTTCGCGGCGAGACGCCTTAACATTAAACCCTGGACTCTAAAGACTACATCCTCAATATCCTTGCAACAGGCCCGGCAACGTGACACCAACAAGTTTGCTCCCTGCTCTGGCTGGCGACGCAGCGCCATCGGCCGCAAACCGGCCCGGCAACGTGACACCAACGAGTTTGCTCCCTGCTCTGGCTGGCGACGCAGCGCCGTCGGCCGCAAACCGGCCCGGCAACGTGACACCGACTAGCTTGCTCCCTGCTCTGGCTGGCGACGCAGCGCCGTCGGCCGCAAACCGGCCCGGCAACGTGACACCAACAAGTTTGCTCCCTGCTCTGGCTGGCGACGCAATCGGCCGCAAACCGGCCCGGCAACGTGACACCAACGAGTTTGCTCCCTGCTCTGGCTGGCGACGCAACGCCACCGGCTGTGCTGCTGGGTTTCTACCTGGGGATCATACAACCTACCGTTTTAAGGGTTATACCCGATAGTCAAGGGGTCATAACCTACTATTCTGTAGGCTTTCGGGCCACAAGGAGGGTTGCACCTTCGGGGTTTCGACCATCCTTCTTGGGCTTCAAAAGGGTGTCTTGAAGGGTTGCTTTAAGGGTCCCTTCAATTCATAAGGGTTCTGCAAGTCTGCTATTGGCGTCTTGGGACCTTGGCAATTCACATTCGAGTAGGGTTTTATAAGACTACGCTTTTTGGGAGTCGGGGGTTCCATTAAGGGGCTTCTGTCAGGGTAATATAGGTTTTAGGGGTGAGGGTTTAGAGGGTTCCTTTAAACTTTGACAGTTCCTTCTAGGGTATCGTAGGGGTTGCTCTAAACGAATTTCAGTTCGAGACCCCTAAATCTGAAGGTCTTCTGGTGTCCAATGCTGCACATGCTCTATTTGGGGCCCCCCCCGAAATAAGTCAAGTTTGCCGGGCTATTCAAACCCGACAGCCCGAACCCTTGCCCAAAGCTCATTGCAGCAACGTTGAGCCTTTGAAAGCAGCAAGGTATGCAGCGGGAAAAACAGCACGAGAAGGGTTACAGAAACGAGGGGCCCCACCACTCTCTTTGAAAAAGGGTAAGTAAAGCTCACCCAAAACAAGCTAATACTACCAACAGACGGGTATGCAGGTATATAAGCCCTGTGGTCCTCTTTCCAAAGGTAAAGGTAAATGCAAAGGGTTTAGGGTTCAGCGTTAGGCGCCTACAATCTCCAACCCCCAAGATAAGGTTTTTGTTGGCATCTTCTTTCCCTTATGGGCCTACCAGAAACAGAGTTTAAACAAAGCAGAGCGCTGAGGGTCGAGGGAGCTCCCGCGACACCTCGGGAGGTCGAGAGCCTGGCACCAGGCAGGAAAACGGGTTAGGGTTCAGGGCTTAGAGGGTTTACTTGGACCTTCCGAGGAGGCAAAGAATTTAGTTTGTTTTTGAACACGGCTTTTCGTGGCCGAAAACGAAAATTTATGTTCCCCAGCGTTTTGCGGGATGACTGCAGCATCAGACATGGGGGATCATGTTTGGTGACGGTGCTCTTTGCCGACCGAAACGTGCTCTTTCCCCGCCAAAATGCGAGAGCACTATGTTTTAATCGAAGAACGATTTTCCTGTGCAACGGCTGAAATTCATGCATTTCCAAACAACGACGAATACAGGTGGGGTTCAGGGCTGCGCGTTTAGGGTTTGCCTAACCCGAAGAAACCTAAATCTACGTCTTCGAATTAATGTATGACTCGGAACATTTAGTAGTGATATCCCGTTGCGGCCTCTGCAAAAATCTGTTTCCATAGACCCCTTAAATGAACTTTTCGAGTCATCAAGGTGTCGGACCAGGGTTCGCAGTTCTTAGGTTCAGGGCTTAGGGGGGCTTTAGGGCTTTGGGGCTTTAGGGTTTGGGGTTTAGGGTTTAGGGTTGAACCATCAGCTTCAAACATTTACATCCGAAAGCAAGTTTGGTTTCGCTTTCAGGTCTAGAGTTTTGAGGGAAGCTGATGAGATTCTGAAAGACACTACCCCCCGCTCAACAGTTTCCAAAGTCAAGCAGAAGCCACTAGATCTCGGTTGGGGGGCGAAGGTTTTAGGGTCCAGGGCTTCCTTGAAGGTTCATGGGTAGTTATGAGTAGGGTTATTATAAGTACCCTAGATAAGGTTATATCCACTTACACTAAGAGTACCCTACTTATCACCCCACTTATAATTACCGATGAACCTCCAAGTAGGGCTTATATAGGGTTAGCAAAAGTTCTGGCTGAGGTTGAGGGCTCAGCCCAGAGTTTGGAGGTCTAGGTCAAAGTCGCTACCCCACCTACTCCCCCCCCCCTCAGATTGGCCAAGAGCTGACCAATACTATTCCTCAGGGTTCTAATTTGAATTATGGCAGTATAGTACACCCCAAAACCCTATTCCAATCATATGCCAAAGCTATCATCCCAGCAGATAGCCGCCAACGATCGGCAGCACACTTTTGGGTCACTAACTTCATTGTACAGATAATTCTTTTGTTTCGCTGTCGACGCACCGCACTTCTGTTTGCTTTACCCAAAACCGTACCTTTTAAATTAGGCTGTAGGGTTTAGGGCTTAGGGCTTAGGGCTTGGGTATTAGGGACCCTATTCAAACCTGAAAAAATCCCCGCAATCCGATCCTGCATCTCAGCTCGTCGAAGCCTGCCGCGGCCGAAGCGCCCGCGCACGGGTGACCCAGGCGACCCGAACCCGTTTAATATATGGGCCGTGGATTGTTCCCCCTTATGCTAACAGTCCTTAATGGGGATGATAATGGGGGTACTATAATCCCTATTCAGGGCTGTCAGTATAAGGGGGAACATCCTAAAGAATCAGGTTTGAGACGGTATATTCTAGAGCATCAGGACATGACGGAACCCTAAACAAACAGTATTGCAAAGGCTTCTGTAGCTACTTCAAAAGCCGGGAGCAGCGACCTTCCCCGAAGCATAGCCGCGAGCCCTCCAATGACAGACCACCCTAAACCCTAAACCCTAAATCCTAAACCCTGAACCCTAAACCCTAAACCCTAAACCCTAAACCCTAAACCCTAAACCCTAAACCCTAAACCCTAAACCCCAAACCCCGAAACCCGAAACCCGAAGCCCAAAATCCTGAACCGCGAGAGTACAGGAAAGGGCAAGGTCCTGAACCCAGATTCTGGACGCCAGAATAATCACCAAGGGTTCCTATATACATATATGTATATATATTAATATATATATATATCAATATATATATATATATATATATATTAATATATATATATATATATATATATATATATATATGGTATATGTATATGTATATATATGTATATGCTGTTCTGTACCGCGCAACCTTGTTCCCCCCCATATTGTCCTCGTGAGAGATACCCGAAACCTCAAAGCTCAAGTTCTACAACCCTGAGCCTGAATATGACGGCCTACAAGCATTGCAATGATGTCGTACTGAAGTCCTTGTGTAGAAATCTACGGAACAAGACATCGGAACTTGAAACCATGTTTGAGAAGTAAAGCCCCCACACAACAACCAATTACAACGCCGTAAAGACTCACACGACAACTCAAGAACCCACAACTTTGAGCGATCCTGGACTATATGGATCCCAGACTCCTGTTTACGCCTGAGGGTTGTTTCAGGGGCCCGGGGTTTAGGGTTGAGGGTTTCGGGTTTAGGGTTTAGGGTTAGGGTTTAGGGTTTAGGGTGCAGGGTTCTGGGTTTAGGTTTAGGTTTCAGGGTCTCTCGCATTCTCTTGCGAGAGATGCGGTGCGAGTCGCAAGTCTTGGGCATTGCAAGGCTCTGCTGCTGTAGCGGAGTCACTCGAGTCAGGGCTTTCAAAGCAGCCGAGTCGGAATCGTGTTCTAAAGCCTGAGACGTCCTGTTGGGGCTTCCGAAATTTGGGGTACCTTTTTGGGGTCCTTGTTGCAAGGGAATCCTGCTATTTGGGGCTGTTATAGGGGTCCCTTATATATCTTCGTAAACCCCCATGTATTTTCTGCCGTGAAAAAACGCCTGGCCTTGTCTTGTTTTGAAGCCTGGTGTCGTGAGCCATCGCGAAACGACACGGGGGAAGCGGGGGTGGCAAGTCAATGAGGATTTCAGTTGTGGGTTGCTACTGGCAACCAGTTTAAGTTGTAATTGCCCCACTTGTAACCTGTTTTTGTGCGCGAAGGGTTGAAGAGGTGCCGTTGATGGCCAAGAGCCCTCAAGACAGCTTGAGAAAGAAACGCCCTGAAAAGAATGGGGATCCTCAGCCCTCCCCACGCCTAAAACCTCAAACTCAAACCCGAAACCATAACCCCAGGCCCTAACCCCAAGCACAACAAGGGGCCGCCTCCGTACCGGCCGCCGCCGTGCCGATGGGCGCTGCCATCGACCCCAACCCAAGTGGCTGCCGAGGCGCAGGCTGATCAAGGCGGCGGTTCCAGCTGTCACGGCTTCGGGGTCGAGGGGTGCTTCGTCCTCTAGGCCCAGAAGCACCCCAAACGCGCGAGTCCAGTTTGAAGCTGTGCAGGCTGAAAGCGCATCGAGCTGCCCTCGTTTCCAACCCTGCCTCGAAAAAGTCTTTGCTTACAATATATAAAGATAAATATAAGTATAAATATACATATAAATATCAGTATAAATATACATGTAAATACAAATGTAAATATCAATATAAATTAAATATAAATTTACATACAAATATAAATACAAATGTAAATATAAGGTACCCCCCCCCCCCCCCCAGAACCCACCCTCAAAGACATAAAGCTTCAGAATTTGGTTGTTTGAGCCTGAGACAGTGTTAATTAACACTGGCCCAGTGTTAATTAACACTGTCTCAGTGTTAATTAACACGGCCGGAACCAAGAACCAAGATTCCCAGAAAAGTATTGGGACGAATCTTGGTTCCTTGGGATGGAGGCGTGTTAATTAAAACGGCCCCCGTTTTAATTAAAACGCCTGGAACCAAAAACCAAGAACCAAGATTCCCAGAAAAGTCTTGGGATGAATCTTGGTTCCCAGGGAGTGAGGGCGTGTTAATTAAAACGGGCCCGTTTTAATTAAAACGCCTGGAACCAAGAAGCAAGAACCAAGATTCCCAGAAAAGTCTTGGGACGAATCTTGGTTCCCAGGACCTGGGTCCGTCAGGTTGAGGAGCCAGGCAATTCACACGGCCCTCTACCTCAGGAACCAAGATTCGACCCAAGACTTTTCTGGGAATCTTGGTTCTTGGTTCCAGGCGTTTTAATTAAAACGGGGCTCGTTTTAATTAACACGCCCCCATCCCCAAGGAACCAAGATTCGTCCCAAGACTTTTCTGGGAATCTTGGTTCTTGGTTCTTGGTTCCAGGCGTTTTAATCAAAACGGGGCTCGTTTTAATTCACACGCCCCCATCCCCAAGGAACCAAGATTCGTCCCAAGACTTTTCTGGGAATCTTGGTTCTTGGTTCTTGGTTCCAGGCGTTTTAATCAAAACGGGGCTCGTTTTAATTAACACGCCCCCATCCCCAAGGAACCAAGATTCGTCCCAAGACTTTTCTGAGAATCTTGGTTCTTGGTTCTTGGTTCCAGGCGTTTTAATTAAAACGGGGCCCGTTTTGATTAACACGCTCCCATCCCCAAGGAACCAAGATTCGTCCCAATACTTTTCTGAGAATCTTGGTTCTTGGTTTTTGGTTCAGGCGTTTTAATTAAAACGGGGCCCGTTTTAATTAACACGCCCCCATATCCAAGGAACCTAGATTCGTCCCAAGACTTTTCTGGGAATCTTGGTTCTTGGTTCTTGATTCCAGGCGTGCTAAATTAACATGGTGCCTTGACCATGGGCACCAAGAATCCCCGAGTTGGACTGCTCCCCAACAGCACCGTAAGGAAGAAACTCATCGCCATGAGTTCTTGGGGGTGGGGGGCAAGCTTGAGTCATTTCATTTAGTCTGACTCAGGGCAGCTGTCTTGGTTTATTGTTCGCTATATAGCAAAGTAAGAAGTTCATATTTTCGTACTATAGCTATATAAGTCCTACATAAATATGAGCACAGAAAACTCTGATACGTATATTTGGAAATTACCCGTTTTAAGAAAAACCGGGTCCGCGAACAAGAACCAAGAATAACCCTGGACCTCAAAATTTAAACCCGAAACCCTACCCCTGCCCCTAAACCCTAAACAATTTAGGCTTTAGGAACAAAGGTTTAGATAGGGCTGAAACATTAAGGAGACACCCCGCAGGCACCGAAGCATGATTATTCCTGAACAACAATCATTGAAAAAATAAAACAATATACGTTGAAAGTGTGGGAATAGGGTCTGGGCTTTAGAAAAAGTTCTTTAGGGAAAGGGTCTGGGCTTTAGCGAATTGCCTTCAGTGGCGAGGGCAACGTTTTATAGGAATAGGAAGACTGAGTATTCCTAAACAATTTCCGTTGAGAGTATGGGAATAGGGTCTGGGCTTTAGTAAAAAGTGTTTAGGGATTAGGGTCTGGGCTTTAGTGAAATGCCTCTAGTGACGCGGGGAAACATGAGGTTTTGGACTAGGCTTCAGCCTACACCTTCAAGAGATAGGCTGCCTGACCACCAATATTCGTTGAAAGTATGGGAATAAGGGTCTGGGCTTTATAGCTGAGGGACAAGGGTCTGTGCTTTAGCGAAATGCCTTCAGTGGCGAGGGAAACGTAAGGTCATGGACGAGGTTTCAACCTAAATCTTCAATAAAATTTCGGTTTTCAGGAACAATTTTCGTTGAAAGTATAGGAATAGGGTTTGGGCTTTAGTAAAATGTCTTTAGGGAATAGGGTGTGGGCATTTGTGAAATGCCTTTAGTGACGAGGGAAAACAAAAGATTTTGGATTAGGTGCCAGCCTGAACCTCGAAGAAATAGGCTATGCTACTCCTAAGCAATATTCGTTGAATATGTGGGAATGGGCTTTAGCGATATTCAATAGCGAGGGAAAATTCTAAAGTTTTGGAACAGGCTGTCGGCCTAAACCGTCAACGAATAGGTTAAGTGAAATCTCTCTAGTTAAACCTTTAGGGTCCGTATCTAAATCTTAAACGAATAGACATAGGGAAACTCTTTGATGTTTAGTGGAACTCTTGAAGGTTTCAGCCAAGGGCTTGTTTGTCAACTACTGGAACAACTTTGCGTACAAACGGCTTAACTTGGTGTTCAAATAATTTAGGATGCAAACTTGGTGAATTTCTGCTGCGTGCGACCCGGAGGGTCCAAAATCCACTTCCTCACACTGCCCTTACCCATTGGTTGAAAGGGGTGGCCCGTCAGATATGGAACTTATTATATCGCAGCCTTCGGGGAAATACCCTGCCCCCTTACACTGTGCTTACGGTGGGTTCTGAGGGGGGGGGGGGGGGTAGCATACATAAATATAAACATAAACATAAACATAAATATAAATATAAATATAAATATGAATATGAATAAGTATATGCATATATCTATATAAAGAAAAGTCTAAATACAAATAAAAAAGAAGTATATATAAATCAATACATACATAAGTCAATACATAGATATAAATGTGTTTATTAAAACGTATAATATACAAAAGATAAAGATGTCTTAGAGAGCGCTTTCCCGAATGTGATTGATTTGTAGACTATGCCTCAGGATGTGTTTTTTCTTTGCAGCCGTTGCTCGAAAGAGGAAGTGTTGTTTGCTCAGTAGTTGCCATGCTGCGTGTGACGCTCCTCGCCCTGGGCTGCTGTGCTGGCCATGTTTCCCGGCGAACTATCTTAACCTAAGCCCTAGACCCTTAGCAGAGGGGCGATACGAGTTCGAAGCTTTGGTCCCGCAACTGAGGCAGTTCGGTCGGCGAGCAACATGACGGAGGCTTCGGAAGGGCTGGAGGATCGAGTGCGAAAGCTCCTTTGCAACTACGGCTTTGCCTACGACTTGCCAGACGCTCGGAGCTCCATGGAACATGGGTACTCCTTGAATCCAACCATTTTAGGGTTTAGGGTTTAGGGTTTGCGAACCCCTTGAAGCTCATGTCAGTCGCGGGTGAGCGTAGGGGTCAGTCGGGCTCACACTCACAGATCTGGTGTCGGGGAATGAAGGCGTGAGTAGAGCTTCGAAGCTTCTGTGGCCTCAACGCGTTGGAGCCCTCCCTTACTGCATGGACATGCTTGGTTTAGGGTTTAGGGTCTAGGGTTTAGGGTTTAGGGTTTAGGGTTTAGGGGGTGGTCTTGCAGACAGTGTGTGCGCTGGTTCGTCATAGAGCATTGGAGGGGGGTTTGTCTTCGAGTTATGAGAGGCTCAGACGGCTAGAGTACAACCTTTAAGCCCGCAGCCCCCAAGTAGAAAACCCCCTCGACAGCCTAAAGGCAAACCCGAAACCCAAACCCTAAACCCTGAACCCTAAACCTTAAACCCTAAACCCTTAACCCTAAACCCTAAACCCTAAACCCTAAACCCTACTGTAAACCCTAAACCCTAAACCCCAAACCCAAACCCTAAGCCCTAAACCCCAAACCCTAAACCCTAAACCCTCAACCCTAAACCCTGAACCCTGAACCCTGATCCCCAAACCCTAAACCCTAAACCCTAGGCCCTAAGCCCTAAGCCCTAAACCCTAAACCCTAAACTCTCAAGGTAGTGTTCCACTTTGCACACTCCGAAGCCTCAGGAAGAGCTCGGGCACGCCCCGTTGCCCCATCCGTGCTGCGAAGAGAGCAAGTGCGCTGCCATCAACAGGAGTCCAAACTGCACAGCAACCCGGACGTTTAGGGTTTAGGGTTTAGGGTTTGGGGTTTAGGGTTCAGGATTCAGGGTTTAGGTTTTAGGGTTTAGGGCCTTAGGGTTTAGGGTTTAGGGTTTAGGGTGTAGGGTTTAGGGTTTAGGGTTTAGGGGTATTTCATTCAGCTCACCGCGGCGCCCCAAATTCGCAAAGGGTCAAGGAGTTTGGATCTGGAATTTTGACAATGTTACGCTGGGGGTGTTGTTGAAGCCTAAACCCTAAACCCTAAACCCTACACCCTACACCCTAAACCCTCAACCCTAAACCCTAAACCCTAAACCCTAAACCCTAAACCCTAAACCCTAAACCTTAAACCCTAAACCATCTGAGGTGCAGTGTCGCGTGGGCTTCCGGCCACCGCCAGAGGGTATTGGTGTTGAGATGTTCCTGCCGTGCCTGGGGCTGAAGAGCATTCTGGTGACAGATTCTTCCAGTTTCTGTTTTTGCGGGGCCCTCAACCCTAAACCACCCTAAACCACCCTAAGCCACCCTAAGCCACCCTAAACCACCCTAAACCACCCTAAACCACCCTAAACCACCCTAAACCCTAAACCCTAAATTGAGAGCTGGGTTGGAGCGGTAGAAGCGCCCGGAAGCTGAGGAGGGAGTGTGCGGAGCCCTTTGTTGCCCGCAAGCCGTACTACAAGCCGAACCGCCCGCGACTTAGGGTTTAGGGTTTTGGGTTTAGGGTTTAGGGTTTAGGGTCTAGGGTGTAGGGTCTAGGGTTTCGGGTTGAGAGTTTTGGGTTTAGGGTGGGCTTCTTCAGGGAGAGGAAGCCCATTCTGGGGACTTCTCACTGTGAACTCGAACCCGCAGGGTGCCTAAACCCTAAACCCTAAACCCTAAACCCTAAACCCGAAACCCTAAACCCTAAACCCTAAACCCAAAACCCAAAACCCTAAACCCTAAACCCTAAACCCCCCTAAAACCCTCAACCCTCAACCCTCAACCCTCAACCCTCAACCCTCAACCCTCAACCCTCAACCCTCAACCCTCAACCCTCAACCCTCAACCCTCAACCCTCAACCCTCAACCCTAAACCCTCAACCCTCAACCCTCAACCCTAAACCCCAAACCCTAAACCCTAAACCCTAAATCTAAACCCTAAACCCTGTGCCTCGTTATTGTATACTGGGGCCCCAAAGCCCCAATATGGGAAGCACTTCAGGGCCCAAGTCTTCCCTATTTAGGTACGTGGGCCTCCGAGGGAAGTTTAGGGTTAAGGGTTTAGAGTTTAGGGTTACGGTTAACTTGGAGGTTCATGGGTACTTGTAAGCAGGTTTATACGCACCCTTGTTATCGCTATAGCTTTACTTATCGTACTTCTGACCCTGTTCATAACTACAGGAACCTCCAAGTATGGTTTAGGGTCTATGGGAGGCTATAAGCCCTTCGACGTCCACTTCGGCGAGCCCAACGAGAAGGCAGGACGAATTCAACCGTTAAGGGTTTGGGGTTTAGGGCGTGTTCCATGTGGGTAGTTCTCTAAATTGGGGTCGCCTTTGGGGGGTCCCTCGGCTAAGGGTGCCGTACTGTGCAAAAGGACCCAACAACGGACCCTAACACAGAAAGCTACCCAAGTGCCAAGAGAGGTTCGAGGGCATCTAAACTGACCATGACCCATGACCCATGACCCATGACCCATGACCCATGACCCATGACCCATGACCCATGACCCATGACCCATGACCCATGACCCATGACCCATGACCCATACCATGACCCATGACCCATGACCCATGACCCTAAACCCCTAAACCCCTAAGCCCCTAAACCCCTAAGCCCCTAAACCCCTAAACCCTCGGGGGGCTGCAGACAAGCCGGCGACTAACGCAAGTGGTGTGAAGATGCCTCTCAAAACCTTCATGCCCCCTAAGTCCCTGAGCCCCTCCGAAGCCCCTAAGCCCCTAAGCCCCTAGGTCCCTAAGACCTAATCCCAAAACCCTAAAAAAACCTACAGCCCCAAAGAGGTGAAGGCCTTTCAAGGGAGGCGCTTGGACATCAGTGGCCAGACTGACATTGGTGGTGTCACAGCGCGCACGGGACAGTTAACTTTGCACCCGCAACTGCATAAGTTAGGGTTTAGGGTTTTGGGTTTTTTAGGGTTTGGGGCGCAGCAGTCCATCAGATCCGATGCTCCTCAAGCTTAAACGTGATGGTCATCCATGCTCGCACGCTTGCGCGCGAAGCAATCCTGAATGCTCGCCCGAGGTGACGGAGACGGCCCTGGGGCTCTGGTGGTGACCTGCTGAGCTTGCACCTATACAGAGCTGCGCTCTCCAGTTGGTAGTATAGGGGCCGTAACAATTAGAACAGGGTTTTGGGGGTTATTGTAGTATACTCAAAAGGGTGACCAGAAGGGAAAACTCTTAGCAATTGTTCCGAACCCTGTAGTAGCATTCTGGGCTTGTCTGGAGCTGGCAGCCAGCTGCACTGGCAGACTCCCGCAGCGGCTGTCCCTTTGGCTTCCGAAAAGGCCTAGAGTTTAGGGTTTAGGGTTTAGGGTTTAGGGTTTCGGGTTTAGGGTTTAGGGTTTAGGGTTTAGGGTCAAGGGTTTAGGGTGTACTGCAGGTATGCGGCGATGATACGCTTCACTTTGGAGAATACATGTATCGGAGGTAATCTGTCAAGAAAGGTTTTGTACCAGGACTCTAGGCTTAGGGGAAGATTTTTTAGGCTTTTTTACCCTTCAAAAATCGACATTAATTTGAAATATATATTTTCAATGATATTTCTATATATATATATATGAGAGCAATCGAATTTTATATCTTGAATATCGGAAAATCAGAACTATCATAAAAAATCGGAATATTTTGGAATAAGGGATTTCTTGATATTTCAGGATTACTAGAACTTTGAAGAAAGATTCGAGACATTCAATATTTGATAATAAATCGGAAAAAGAAATCATGAAATACTATAGGAGGATCAATAGAGAATTAAGGATGGAGAAGATGAGGAATGAGATTATTAAATTCATTCTTCGATATTATTGAGTCATCTTAATTTATTTCTAAAATAATTTTAGGAATTGGGGGCGCCGGATTTAGGATTCGAATTTCCTTTTGGATGCAAAAATGATTTAGATTTAAAATTTATGATAATAATTGGAACCAATAGATTATGAAGAAGGATTAGGATATCTTTTAAATATATATGATTCTATCTCGATTTCTATAATTTTTAAAAACTAAATCTAAGTCCATAATTTGGGAATTCGAAAAAGAGAGAAAGAGAAAAATAGAAAGAAT